GGTCTGTGGCTGAACCCATCCCAGAAGTGCTGGGGGGTGAGGGTCATGCTAAGTGACCCCAAAGGGGTGGAGGGAGGGACCCCACACACTGCTCCCCTGGGCAGCCACTCAGACAGACCCGAAGGCTGCGGGGCCACGTGTCCTTGGGAAGCATTTCACCAGCCCCTTCGGGCTCTGGGCCGGACAGACCTCTCCAGACGCCGCCTCCCGTCCCTAAGCCAGTCCCCCATGCATCTGCATCCTCCAGTCTGCTCATGAGGACACACATCCGGCCTGACCTCGCTGCATCCCTATTCCAAACTCAGCTGCATCCCGGGTTCCTGGCAGATGAGAAGTGGGGGGGGACACGGGTCCTCACGCCCACCCTGCAGGAGCTCCCTCCCCGTCTGTGCTCCCCTCCACCGTGAACCCTTGCCTTGTCTCGGAAGCCCACTGGGATCTGTGCATGAAAGTGGCCCCTGGGCTGCCCCCATCCACACCTTCTCCGCTCCCTTAAAGAGCAGGTCGCCAGAAGGGGTAAAATGCACGGTTAAAGTAAAGGGAGTTGAGCAGAGTTTGGGATCCTGGCTTCCAGCGCTGTTGCCCGGGGCCCCGCACACAGTAATTCAGAGCCCAACCTTCACGAAGGACCTCGAGCACCGAGGGAAGCACAGCCGCCGCCAGGACTGCCCCAGCACGGGAGCCTGAACTCGGATCGGGGCCACGGGAAACCTGGGGCACACTTGGTACGTTCAGCGTTTCTTGAACACTCCCCACTCTGCCTCAAGTACGAACACCAGGACCCTCCACCTCCATGCTTGCTGAGAAAACAGAGCCAGGTACAGGCACTGAGGCACCAGCAGGGTCAGGCGGCCCGAGGCTCTGAGGCGCAATGGCTGGCGCTCCAGCAGCCTCAGGGAGAGGATGAGGACACAAGGGCTGGCTTCACCCTTGCCGGATCCCTGGTGTGCTCACCGAGCCTCGGCTTCCCTTGCACCATCCACTCCACATGTCCCTTTAAAACGGGCTCCTCTGACGCCCCGCTGCGGAAGCAGACGTGGCTCTTAGATCACTCAAGTGTCAAGGTGAACGTCTGAGAAAGCAGCATTGGGTGTTTTTATTTCTGGGTCTCACTTGCCTTTTACCCAAACCAGAGGTGATAAACTTGAGCAAGCGGAAGGCTCGACTGCCACCTGGCAGGACTCCTGAGACTTTCCCAGCTTCCTGAAGGTCAGAGGATTACAGAACAAGGATGTTTGCGAGTCTCTGCTGCCTGAAGCAAGGGAATGTCCTTGGGACAAGGTGAAGGATGCTCATGTGAGATGCACAGACCCTGGCAGGCCAGCCATGGGTGCAGACACAGAGCTGTGTGTGCACACGCTCCCAGGGTCTGTGACTTCCAGAAACAGAGGCTACCACTCGGCTAAGACCCTGATGTGCTGGGGCAGATCTGCGTCTGTGTTCTGACGTGCCCCTCAGCGTGGGAACAGTCTGTGGGCAGGAATAATCCACACCCAACCAAAGACCTGCACTTAACGAGGACAAGAAATTCGCACGGTGGCTGTCATGGCCTGGCCTGGAGCCGGCGCCAGAGGCCGAGCTCTCCAGGCACTCCAGTGAACCTTCTGGGCAAAGCCGGCCTCCCAATATTTGACAGGTGGGAAGCCTGAACTTTGCTGTCACTACCTAACTCTGCAGGTAAAGGAGCACCATTAACGGGGGTGCTTTTCCATCCATCTCAAGCTTCCAAGTGTCCGATTCGGCGGGCAGTCTTTCCGAGATAACCAATCCCTTTGGGGGGATCCCCTTATGGCCCCCAGTAAGGAATATGACACGGACACCGTTTGCACAGTGGCACCTGTCCTCAACAATCACACTGTCCTTGTGTGAACCTCACACTCGGGACCGCTTCCCCCAACCACGTGTTTACACAAATCATGCTGAACAAGGTCCCAACACACCCACACGCCCCCGCAGGTGCAGCAAACAGGACCCAGTCAGCAAACTCCAGCCTCCGTCTCTGTAACCTGACACCTCATGTCACCTGCAACAGAAACCACCCATTGTCCTCACCTCCCCTGAACAAAGAGCACAGCCGCACAGCTCCCCAACGCAAATTTCAAGAGCGACTCTGTACCCTGTCTCCTCCAGCGGGAGGAGCTACAACAGCCAAGCAAAAACAATCCAGGTGTGAGCGCTGGCAGCCAGGTGAGGGCTCGAACCTGTGCCCCCAGCGGGCTCTGGCACCGCCCGGAACGCCCGCACCCGTGGCCACCGCCAGGCAGGGACACGGCCTCTCGCAAGGATGGACGGAGGCTGCTCGGAGGAGTGAACTTCTCCAACGCGGGGCCGCCACACTGGCTGCTCAGGCCGTCCCTGGGCCAAGGCTGCTGGGTGCTGTCCGGGAACACTGGCCCCGTGGGGCGTCCACACCTGCTGGACTCAAGGGTGTCCCAGCGAAAGCCACATGTGCACCTGGGGGGTCTGCAGGTCCGCTCCTGCACCGGTGTGACCCTGCCCTCCTGGACGGACACAGTCCTTGCAGGACAAGACTAAGGGCAGCCACGGCGCTCTGCATGGAGCGTCAGTCATCGCCGTGACGCACGCCCAGCCCTCCGTGAGGCCGGCCAGCCCCCTACCACCTAGGGCACCCTCCCTGTGTCCCAGGGGGTTCCGGAGGAACAGGTCCTCTACACATCTGTCCCGGCTCCTTTACCCTTGAGGAGCAGATGGTACGCCTGGGAACCGACCAAACCGGTTCTCCCCTACCACACGGCCAGAGAACAACGGCCAAACCAAACAGACCGGCAGAGGCCGCGGGCACCGGGAGACTGGACCTGCCCCCCTCGCATTTGCCCAACCAGGGAGAAGGCTGTCCCGCACCCGGTGCCTTTCCTGAGAGCCACAGCCAGTGCCCAGACTTCCCACGCGCTACTCCATCCATCCCACACGGCGCCCGCCGGGGACGTGGCCATATCCCCACGCACAGTGGAGGGAAGTCGGGCGCAAGCACAAGAGGCCCCCGTGTGAGGTCACGCAGGTCTCCAGGTGTCGTGACCTGGCTGGAGCCCGGCCTGGCGCTGGCCCCATGCTCATGATCACTACTGAGCTCTGCACCTGGGTGTGCACGCAAGCACACGTGGCTGACACGCACGCCCACGGGCATCTGCAGAAACGCTGAGCACAGGGGCACAGCTTGGCCCCCGTCACAAGGGATCTGCCACCTGGGAACGCCCCAGAGCCTCCCGGTCATGACCCAGCAGACCCTGCCCCACACGGGCCCTCTCAGCAGGAAGCCAACACACAACAAAGCCACGGTCATGCTTCTCTACCCTCAACGCCGTACCAACAGGCAGAGCCAGAGAAAGCCAAAGGTCCCGACGAGGCTGCCCTCCAGAGCAGCGCGTGACTTCCCCCTCAGACACCTGCTGGGTGCAGGTGGACGTCTGCAGGGCAGCAGTGGCTCAGGACGAGCCCCCAGCCGCAGCCTACACCCTGCGTGACTCCCCCCAATGCACCCATTCTATGCACCCTGCTTCCCTCGTGGACAAGGTGCACACCCAGTATCCTGGTTTCCCGTCTATGCCGGCCCCCAGGGAAACTCAGCACACATGCACGTCTCATCAGCTAAGCTAACATTTGCAAAGGGAGGTTTGCCTCCAGGACCCGCTGCCTGCCGGTTTTGGTCTGAGAATGGATCCAGCCTCACTAGCCACTTACTTAAGCCCCTGCAATAAGCAGAAGGTGGCTAGGCACCAGAGAAGTTCTAGAATGATGGCCATCAAGGAGATGGCCACGCATTCTGAGCACGATAACCCTCACAGAGCTGTCTGCCCTCCTGTCTCGCCAGTGCCCCACACGGTTCCAGAAGCACTGCTGGCCAGTAGACAGCTGCCCCGGCAGAGGTCAGGTCATCACGTCAGCACCCTGATGCGGCCAGGTCCAGCCAGCACAGTCCATCGGTACCACGCCAGTCTGCCTCCCAGAACAGAGCCAGCAGCTCACAGTGGGAAGGAGCCAAGATGAGGCTCTTCCAGAACCTCTTGCAAGGGGTCCTGGCACCGGGACACCTGCAGAGCTGGTGACTCCCCCTTGGGGACAGACCCCAGAGCTGGAGGGAGCAGACGGCAGCCAGGTCGGACGGGAAGAAAGTGCAGAAAGGGGCAGCTCACGGCTCGGAGCCAACAGCCTGAGGTGGACAGGAAGGAGGCTGCCAGCTCCCACGCCTGAAGACTGCTGAGTCACTACAAGCATCAGACGCAGAGCATGGTGTGGGAGGGCCACGGGCACACAGAGGACATGGGGCCCAGGGATGCATGGACTGGCCAAAGGGCACCTATCATCCAAACCCAGCGGCCACCTTCCCGTCTACAAGCAAGGCCTGCTTGGGGAAGGTGCTCGTGAGACCCACCTCCAAAAGGACACCCCATGACACGGTCGCCACAGCCACATTCCACACGGCCTAAGCACCATGATACACACAGAGGTCCCACGACACGGCCACCGCAGGACCCCCCCACACACAGATGCCCTACGACACGGCCACCACAGGACCATACTCCACACGGCCACCACGACACACACAGACGCCCCACGACACGGCCACCACGGGACCACACTCTACACGGCCACCACAACACCACAACACACACAGACACCTGCCACATGGTCACCATTGCACCATGACAGGCACAGATGCCTTGCAACAAGGGCATCTTGTAGCCCTCGTTCGACTCCTAAGAAAATGGACTGAGACATCTTCTATCCCAGAGAAGGAAACTCAGGCCGAGCACAGGGACACCCGATGTGGGGGATATGAAAGGCGGTCATGGCTCTGGTCACTAAGGAAAGCGTACACAGGCAAGTACCAGAGGCCTGAGGTCCGTGCACAGGCTCTGGGAGTGAAGTGGGTCCCATGTGAGGTCCAGAGGGAGCCTGACAGCCCCAAGAAGGGCCCCACATCAAGACAAAGACAGTCCCACGTGACAAGCCAGGACTCCCAGGATACAGAGAGGACTCACCTGTCCCAGGTACACCTGTGCGCAGCGGTGAGTCACCACCTACGATGAGAAGACACAGGGTAAGCAGACAGGCTCCCGGGAAAACGCCACCAGAGGTCCACTCAGGTGCAACCCCAGAGCCGTCCCTGTCTGTCCCCACTCACGGCCGCAGAGCTCCAGCATCAAAGACAGACAAGGCCTGCAGTTACGAGAATCCAGACTTTTCTTCACTTTCATGCAGTCCAGCTCCTTCCACAGAATCTCCTACAAACCCTGGAGCCTCCCCCCGAGAAGTGCCCTACACTCACGTACAGAATTTCCTCTTCGACTTCAAAGGACAGTGGCCTCCCAGGCTAGGAACCTGGGAGCTAGCTGGAACCCTTTTTGGCCACGACAAGGAGGTAGGGGCCCCCCTGGTGGTCTTCAGGCCGCCCCCACCACTACACCCGGTGCCCGTACTCCTTACAGAGTGGACCACCTTTTCTAGAACTTGTTCCACAGTGGGACAGAAGGCAGATGAGTGGCTCCGGGGTTCGGCCTCCTCATCTGAGCGGGGGAGGTAGGAAGCGCATGGGTGCTCTGAACCGGCCGGCACGGGGCAGGCTCCCACACTCCGGGAGCACGGACCATCCCTGGGCAGAAAGGCGGGCTATCGGCGGGTGACGGCACCACGCCGGCCTCGTGCGGTCCTGGGAGGCCAGGATCCCAGCACCTGCCAGCAGGATCCCGCTCTGCTCTCCCAGGGCCCCCTGCACCCCCATCCTCAAAGTAAAAACATGCACGGGAAGGGAGAGACCCCCCAGGGATCTAATTGTCCCCGTGGCCTGGAGTGGGTGGCAGCATGACCTTGGCTCTTCCCGCCATGCAGACTATCTATAACTGCTGCTTATCTTCCGATATTCCTCAGGGAACATGACACATGGTCATTCGTTCGTCTGGGACACACATGGCTCAGGCAGAAGCTGACTCCTGCTCGCTGGGGCAGGGCCCTGTCCCCTGGCACCAGCCCCTCCCTGCCCGCACCCCCTCCCCACGCACAGCCCCGCACTGCTGACCCAGTGGCCGGCGTCCCTGCCCTGACCGACGCCCCCCGGGAAACAGGAGCACGCCCTCACCACACGCGGGTGCACAGCCGCATGCACGTGTCTGTCCAAGCCTGATGCGCGGAGGAGGGAACGGGGGATATAGGAACTAATAAATATAAACCACGAAGAACAAAAAAGGGGGAAAAAAAAGGTCTCTGGAAATAGAGGAAGTTACAGACAGGCGCCTATGGGGGGTTGCTGGTCAGCCAGGCAGGCCCACAGAGCGCGGAGCTCGGCGGTCACGTCTGCACATAGGCAGTGTCCACACAGCACCCAGGGGGCCGGGGCGCCACTCTATGGGACACCCGGCAAGGCCGTGCGAGGAACTGGGGCTCCCATCTTTGAAAAATCACTGTCTGTATCCCACCCCGGGGAACATCATTCAGCAATTACAAAACAAGAAAAGATCTTGAGGAACCCCAAGTGCGGATCACCAAGAAAAAGACACCAGTGAGAGAGGCCAACGCTGTGCGGTTCCCACTCGGTGACATTCTGGGGAAGGCAGAACTGTGGGCACCGTAACGAGACGGGCGCTGGCCCGCGGGGGAGGGGGATACGCAGAGCACAGAAGTGTCCGGTGAATACAGTCTGTGTGATGGTCTAACGGTGGACGCGTGGGACCCATCTGTCCAAACCCACAGAACGGGCAGAGCAAGCCCTAATATGACCTGTGGACGTGACTTCCTAAAATGTCCCTGTAGTCACTGATCCATGATAACAAATGTACTCGTTACTGCAACAGGGTAACGGAGAAAATCAGGAGGGAAGTCAGGGGGGAAGTGAGAGTACCATCCGGCTTCTCTGTTAACCCAAAACTGTCCTTAAAAATAAAGTCTATTCGTGAGTTTTCCACTCGCTGCCGAGAAGCGTGTGTTTGTCGGGTGAGCAAAAGGGAAAGTCCTACGCAGTCCCCAAACCCACGAGTCTCACACAGGGAGGCTGGGAGGTCTTTTGTCCAGAGGGCAGGTGGGTCCTGAGCTCCCCACGTGCCCCCCAGCCCCTGGCCAGAGGGGGTTGGTGACACTGCCCGCCTGTCCCCAGGGCATCCCCCACAGAATGGGAGCAGACTCCAAGCCGGGGCTCCTGAGTCCCAAACCCGCCCCTCCCTGCGGCCCCATCCCCGGCTGACAACTTGAGGGGGCGACCCGGACACGCCGTCAAGGAGGAGGCGTTCGCCAAGGGAAACGGCATAAGCCACCATCTTCGCTGGAGAGCAAGCCTGGGCCGGGGCCACAGGAGCAGACCAGACCCCCCAGCGCAGCAGAGCAAAGGAGAAGCAACGAGGCTCCAGGCTTCCGCTGCAGAGAACCGATCACAGCCCTGCTGTCTGTGTTCACCCACACCATGACAAAACGCAAACAGAAAACATCCCAGGGCTACAATGAATTTGCAAATGAAATTACACCAGAAGCACCAAGTCAGAGAAGAAGGTGTGGCCCAGGGGAGAGCCACCTGCGGGCCAAAGAGAAAACGAGTATTTACATCAAGAATGGCGGACATCTAGTTTTGCAAAGACCATCCTCGATCGGACAGTGGGCACGTGTCCCTTGGACATGGCTCACGCCAGATCCCAGGACGGGAACTCTAGGAGAACACACTGGCCTGGCATGCTACATTCCAGGGGACATTTCCTCCCTTGGATTAAGAGGACGGCAGCGGACTCCGGTCTGGCAGGGCTATGGAGGGAGGGCACAGGGAGCACATATGATCCCCCTTGGATCCCCCCGCCCCCGCCCAGAACCTGGGATGTAAATGGTCATGCAGACCCCCCTTTGCATGTCCCAGACACTCGGGGTTCCCTCCAGCTCTTCGATCTGACAGAGAGGCACAGAGCATGGCTCCCGGGCTTTCTACCAGCCACGCACCTGCCCCTCCGAGCCTCAGCCCGCCCGCCCCCCCCCGCGGGACGGAGACGCCCGGTAAGCACGTCACAGGGAGGGGTGTCTCTCGGGGTTCAGGTCGGGTCAGTGAAGGTGGAGCCCGCTCACCTGCTTTCTGTCCCCATCTTACTGCAACCTCAGGTCACACGCCCGGCCGGCCATCTGCTCGGCTCACTTTCTAAAAGGCGACAACATGGTGCTGGACGGTTTCCAGGTGGGCCTGGCCTTCCCCGTCACGCAGGGGCTGACGCTTCTCGATGTTCAGGATCCACAGGAGCCAGGCCTGTCACCGACGACGCTAAAATCCCAGCGGCACCTGCCACGTGCTTTGGGACCTTGGGAGGAGGGTCCCCAACGTGGCGCTGTTCCCAGGGACCGTCTGACAGCAGGACGCCCACAGATCCCTGAGTGCACGGCCAGTGCGTTAGAGGGAAGACATGGCTGCCCCCTGGGGTCTGGTCAGTGCCTCCCTCACCGAGCTCCTTTCTGTGCTGGAAGGCGGGCTGAGAGCGGTCGCAAGAGAATGGGCCCAGCTGCCACGAACAGGCGCACTCACGGGGATGCCCACAGCTCCTCCAAGAGCACCTTCACGTCCCAAGCAGGCCATGCGCTGTGTCTGTGGGTCCTGCTCGCTGGCCGTCACTGCCACTCAGCAAGCCGGAGAGCGTCCCTTTGGTGTGTACAGTGCTGAGTCCCACAGAGGCCGGGCAGTGTGGGCAGATCCCACTGGGTTCAAACTCTACGTTCCTCCCCTGACAGGAAGGGCTTCACTCTCTGACCAGGAGCACGGGGCAGGTGGGCGAGGGGCGGAGCCCACCAGGGGCAGGGGAGGGGGGCAGGACCAGGGCTACCAGTGAAGGCCACAGCCCTGGCGAGATGGGGAGAGGTCTTCCCCGGGACCATTTTATGGCCTTGTCGTGGCTGTGTTAGGGGACAAGTCACCGTAACCAAGGACAACCATAAACAAACAGGTCTCCACTGGCCACAGCTGGTTCTGTGGCACCTGCCTCACGAGGTATGGGAAACTCTCCCCAAGCCAGCAGTGGGTAGGTGGGCAGGTGACCAGGACAGGGAGGGCCTCGCACCCCAGGGGTGACTGTGCTCCGGGAACGGGAGTGTGGGTGTGAGTGCTGGTGTGCCTACGTGTGACGGTGTGTCTGAACGGAGAATGCACGTGTGTCACCACACACTCACGCACAACCCAGGCCCGGCGCTGCAGGGGCATCTCCCCACGGGCACCAGAGCGCTCTGGCCAACACCCCTGGGGGCTGAGCCGGGCCGGCGGGAGTGAGACCGCCTCACAGGGTCTGACTCGGCCCCTCTGTTTACTTCTGGAAATTAAGCTCTTGGGGCAGAAGTTACAGCTCACACCCCATGGCCCGGATTGTTTCCCGGTACGTTCGCTCGACAAAACAAGGAACCCAGCACTCGCTGTTGCCCACTCTTACGAAATCGTCCTCCGGACAGAGCGACATGAACAGCACGAAGCCCCCCGCAGAGGAAAGGTCGAGCCGACCCTTCTGGAATCGTGGACAGCCCCAGTTGTGCTGGGCCACGTGAGCGAGTGCCACGGAAGCCCAAAGAAGCCGGTGCCCTCAAGCACGTGGCACGTTCTTCAGCCGGCCGGGTTAGCTCTGCCTGGGCAGGCACGGCACGCACACCCGGATCGGGAAGGGGCGTCCGCCCAGAAGAGCCCAGTTACGAAGATGCATTAAATCAGCGCACCCCCGTGCCCACGGTAAGCCCGTCCAGCACCGCCGGTGCGCGAAGCGAGGCGACAGGGGGAAGAATCGGTGGGTGCCCGACCCTGACGGGTGAAGAGGCACTTTCCTGAGGGAAGCCCCGGAAAAGGCGCGACCTTATGCTCAACTTGCACCATTAAATACAATCATTTTAAAATTCACCATAACATGAATTGCGACAGAGGCAGGCCACCATGGGGTGACAGGCTGACCTTCCTTGATCTTTGCGAAGCCTTTCCTTTATGAGACCAGAGGGCTGCACCCCCCCCCACGCCCCACACCCAGCTGGACAGACGGACACCCGAGGGCCGTGTCTGCCAGAATCACGGAGGCCCCCGCGTCTCTGCACGGAG